GGCTTGAAAGCGAGTTGAGCGCCACAACCCCATAGTTGCCTTTGACTGGACTTAACCATCCAGGGGTCCTTGATCTTTACCTTTTTTTACTTAAGACATCTGTGTCTGTCCAAGGCTACCAGGTTCTGACACAAACCCTGACCAAATATCCATGATCTGGCATGGACATTTTTAGGAAGGAGAAAGGCTGTGTCTTAGTTATAGAGCATCTGCTCTGCATGAAAAAGGTCCTAGATTCAACCGTCAGGATCTCCAGGTAGGACTGTCTGAAACCCTGGGGAGCTGCTGCCAGTCAGTGTAGGTGATGCTGAACTAGATGGACCAGTGCCCTGACTCAGTACAAGTCAGCTTCCTTTGTCCCTTTGTTATGATAAGAATAAACTGCTTGTTTTCATCAGATAATGATGTGCTGTACATAAGCGTGGGATGCGGGTGGTGCTGTGGTCTCAACCACAGAGCCTAGTACTTGCTGATCAGAAGGTCGGCGGTTTGAATCCCCGCGACGGGGTGAGCTCCCGTTGCTCAGGTCCCTGCTCCTGCCAACCTAGCAGTTTGAAAGCACTTCAAAGTGCAAATAGATAAATAGGTACCGCTCTGGCGGGAAGGTAAACAACGTTTCCGTGCGCTGCTCTGGTTCGCCAGAAGCGACTTAGTCCTGCTGGCCACATGACCCGGAAGCTGTCTGTGGACAAACGCCGGCTCCCTCAGCCTATAGAGTGAGATGAGTGCCGCAACCCCAGAGTCGTCTGCGACTGGACCTAACGGTCAGGGGTCCCTTTACCTTTACATAAGTGTAACTTATCCTAAACTGTATAAGGCGGTAAATAAATGTAAGTAAGAAATCATTATTTACTCTGTACCCCTCTATAGCATGTTCTGCACATTTTATGTTCATCCTTGTTATCTTTACGCAACCTCGCAAACTGCCAGGTTTTTATCAGTTTATCTTTTTAAAACATACTGTCCATTTCAGAGAGGTTTTCTTTTGTTTTAAACAACACACATAAATAGATACTGCACCAAGAGATAAATATATGCTGCCTTCACTCTGAGTTGGCTTAATGATGCAGTTAGGGGACTAAATCTGGTTGGCTATATAGTGCCATCACAAGGGTACCATTGCCTTTACTCGGAGTTGACTTCATGATGCTGTCCTGTCATTGGATCTGCTTGACATCAGCCTGAATATGTGACCACCCAGTGGGAGGAATTGTCTAGGACGAAAAAGGAAGAAATCTGCTGTTTGCTGGGAAAATTTTGACTTCCCTGAGTGCCCCCTAAAATATCCACATGCGTTTTTGGGGGGTCAAAACCTTAGTTTTAACAAAGCGTGGGTGAATAGAGCAAATACCAGTTCTTCTTGACTCAAATATTACACACTTTTGATGTGGTTATTACCTAGCTTTGCGTAAACCATGATCCCATCCATGTTTTCTTGGAAGTAAATCCCACTTACAGTGCAGTCCTGTGCAGCTCTGCTCTGTGGAGCTCAAAGAGACTTACGCCCATGTTAAGTGTGTACAGGAATGCAGCCTTAATCCTAAACAGCACACACAGAATTTTCATTGTAATTTTATTTCAACTGGTAACATCACTCGTAATTAGCAAGATTCTGTTAGCCTGATCCTCTGTTCCCTTTTCCCTTTCCTCTTCTATGAAGAAACCCTTTCTGGGACCCCACATTTAAATTCTTCCCTCCTTGCTGGCCCTAGTAGGACCAACTTGGTCAGTTAGCCCAGGTGATCATTTGATGTCAACCGACTGGGTTCCCTCCCCCCAAAAAATGACCCCTGAATTTTTAAATTTTATTGATATCGATGCTGCATTTTATGTTGTATTTTATGCTGTTTTATGCTGTTTTTAAGTTGCATTTTAATCAATGTTTTATATTTGCTGTTAGCCACCCTGAGCCCGGTTTTTAAACCTGGAAGGGCAGGGCATAAATAATAATAATTATTATTATTATTATTATTATTATTATTATTATTATTGGACTCCATGGACACTCTATGCCTAGCTATCCTAGAGAGGGCATTTCTCTTCCATTTGTAGATTCAACAGTACACAACTGAACCAAAATTAAAGCTAAATTTCCCTGTATAAACCACTCATTTTGATTCACAGGTATCCATGCATATATATTGTGAATTTCACATATCCACCTTTTCCCCCTCCTGGCTTGCAGTTCTGATACTGATCAATATTCTCCTCTGCTCAATTTAGGTCAGACAGTAGGATGCTAATAATACAGATCACAGTCTGCACATTAAATTTCCTGTTCTTAACCTTTATGAAGGCTCTCTGTTCCTCAGACCCAATGCTAGGTTACTTAACTCAGGATCAAAAGAAACATTTTGCGTAGGCAAATTGTGGTTCGGGCATCTTAGGCAAAGGGAGAGGAATCTGTGTTCTGCCACATATGGTTGGACTCCAACTTCCATCAGCCCCATGCACCATCACTAATGGTCAGGGATGGCGGAGCTGTAGTCCTGTCTAGAACAGGATTACAAAGTCTAGAACACAGGTGAAGAACACAGGTGAACCCCATGATGGCTACATTCCCTTATGGGCCAAAGTGGGCACAGCAACAAATGCAAATTTTAACTTTACAATATGCTAGATTCTTCACAGTCACACATTGCTCTCTCTCCTCCATTTAGTCAGCCATACACTGCAGCTGGGCAGAAACGCCCAAGGAAGGTGGAGAGCAGGGCTTCTGAGGAGTGTGGCTCAAGTAGGCTGTGGCTTGAGGAGAGCTAGGGACGTTTGAGGGACAGCTAGAGAAGTTTGGGGGCAACATTTGACCTCTGAGCCTGAATTTCCCCTCCTAGTCTAGAGGAACACCAGATCTCTGCCCTCAGTCTTAGAGCCGTTCCCACCATTTTTGGTGTGTGTGTGTGTGTGTGTGTGTGGTATTTCCCTAGGTGAGAACGTATGACCTGATGGGCGATTTTGCCCAATGGGGAAAGGTGGTGACAGGTTAGATTGGTCTCAAGGAGGGCCAGGGCCTTTTCAGTGCTGGCCCCGACTTGGTGGAACACTCTTTCACAAGAGACTAGGGCCCTGTAGGACTTGACATCTTTCCGCAGGGCCTGCAAGATGGAGCTGTTCCGCCTGGACTTTGGTTTGGACTTAGTCTTTCCCTCCCCTTATGGTTTTGATCTATAGGCTACTATTAAAATGAGGCTGCATTTTAAATTGTATTTTAACCCATATTTTAAATTGTTTCTCCCCCATTATGTTTTTATTGTAATTTTACTGGTGTTAGCTGCCCTGAGCCCAGCTCTGTCTGGGGCGGGTGGGGTATAAATAATAATAATAATAATAATAATAATAATAATAATAATAATAGCTTGCTCCACCCCACACTCTTCCCTCTTCTATATTTGGCGCCCTCCCTCCCTGTTGCAGCGGGCTTACAGGCTAGTCTACTGTTTTCCAAGGGCTGAGTAGAATTTGGGGGTGGGGATGACCCTAATTGACAGGGGTCTTCTTTTTTGCCTGTGTGGCGCTGTGGGATAAAACACAGAGCCTAGGGCTTGCTGATCAGAAGGTTGGCAGTTCAAATCCCCATGACAGGGTGAGCTCCTGTTGCTCGGTCCCTGCTCCTGCCAACCTAGCAGTTCAAAAGCATGTCAAAGTGCAAGTAGATAAATAGGTACCGCTCTGGCGGGAAGGTAAATGGCGTTTCCGTGTGCTGCTCTGGTTCACCAGAAGTGGCTTAGTCATGCTGGCCACATGACCCAGAAGCTGTACGCCGGCTCCCTCGGCCAGTAAAGCGAGTAAACCCCCAAGTTGGCCACGACTGGACCTAATGGTCAGGGGTCCCTTTACCTTTATACTGTTGGGTGATGTTTGTTGGAGTGGCGTTCTTTCAGTTTGGCTAATTGGCATGTTGTCTGGGCAGGCGAGAAGATTTCAGAAATAATGGAGTGCTTACTTGAGGCAGTGTTGAGTTGTGGGCATCCCTTAGTCACTGTTGTCAGGCATGGCCTGTGGGTGCTGGGAGGTACCCTTTGACCTGACAGACACATGGGGTGTGTGTGAATGTTGGTCTCTTACACCCAGGTCCACGTTGCGGGGAGGGAGGATCTTAGGAAACCTGGCTGTGTGCACACAGAGTGCTGCTGTTAACTTGCCCAGGTGATGGGGGTAGAAATTACCCCCATCTATTAACGAACACCTGGCTGGATTTGGTTGCATTGATTGAATCTGACTCGTTAATTGGTTTTGAAAATCCTCAAGTTGTTATATTTATTTAAACTTTTTTTATTCAAAATTAAAACAAAACATATTATCCAGAAACATATCATCCTTATTCCCCCCGCCGCCATTTTTCTTCCCTCTCTCCACCCTCCCACACAAAACCCACCCCTCACCCCGGCTTCCCTCAGTTCCAGTCTTTGATTTCTCTGAGAATGCTGTTTTCTGCATGTTACAAAGTTGTATAGATCCTCAAACTATTTAGCTGATTATTATCAATAAAAAGTTTGTGAATGTTTATTCAAAGCCGGCCAAGGAGTCCAGTTCGCTTTGTTGCGTCTTCAAATACTTTGTAAAGGGTTCCCATTCATCTTTAAAGTCACAGTTATCCTTGTCCTGTAGCTTGTATGTCAGTTTTGCCAGTTCTGCATAGTCCATCAATTTTTCTTGCCATGATTCTTTAGTTCGGGTTTCTTCAGTCTTCCATCCTTGTGCTATTAAAACTCTCACGGGTGTTGTCACATACATGAAGATGTTTTTCAGCTTTTTTGGCAGATCAAGTTGTTATATTTCATAAAAACAACCTATTTATCCATATTTGGTTGTCTTGGCTCTTCCTGGTGTGCTGGCAATGTTCCTGTAAGGATATGTTGTGGCTTTGTAGCAACCATGGTGCGATGTCAACTTTGTGATACCAGAGTGAAATTGAAATTCAGTTATGGTGATGGCACAGCTGGGGCCAACTGATGATAGCTGCAGGGAAACAACAAGAAGAACAGGAAAGATTGAACTGGTCCTTCCATCATTAAGTCGCTGCTTCCTGTTGCAGTGGTTGAGAGCCACCAAGCCACTTTTGGCCATCGACAGAGTGGCCTTCTTCTCAAATGTGTGTTTGTGAGTCACCGATGATCTGTTTTGGAGTTCCAGTCAACTGCAAACAGTTGTGTGGATGTGTCCTGAGGAAAAAGCATTGTTGCTTTTAGTGTGCAGTAGGACACAAAATAAAGAGTTTGGGGGAGGGGAATTGTGCAGTTGGAAAGCTAATAATGTCAAGCAGAGTCATTCAGGAATGGAGCAGAATGGGCTCCATTTCCATCCTTAAATCAATCTGCTCAAACCATACTAAAACACCTCCTTCTTTTGGGGTGGTAAAACAGGTAAGACTTCATTGCATCCTTGTGAATCCCCCATAAAATACTCCTAATCTTTTTGTGCCTGTAGATTATTGAACTCAGGCAGGTTCATAAATGACTCATCGCTGTAGAGTAGATATGAAAAACTGGCTCCAATGGAGAAAGTGCCACTCATATAATGGTGTAAGCAATGAGCAAAGGACACTTTGAGCTTGTTCATTTATACTTCAGCCAGATGGGTGGGGTATGATGATGATGATGATGATGATGATGATGTGGGGAGTATCTGATGGGGATTTTGTGCAACTGAGGAATCTGCATTTAAAAACAACAACTGAAGATCAGTTCAAACCAGAACTGATGATTTCTCATACCAATATGGACACAGCTTTTGGGTACAGAATACAGCATTCTGAGAATCTGAACTGTCTTAAAAAAAGAAAACCCAGCCCCCCTAAGTTTATAGTCTCCTGGCTGTGAAAATAAATAGAATTACTGAATGTAGGTGGGCAATGCCTTGTGACTCAGAAGCTACAGAAGGAACTGGGAAAGCTTTCTAGCAGGTGGGATGTAGGCAACTGGAGCCCTACATACCTTTTGGCTCCTAGCATAAATAGCTACTGATAGCTATCAGATGTTCTTATCTGTTTCACACAATGCATAATTAACTTTTGGAATTCGTTGCCATGGAATGGGATAGTGGTCAGCAGCTCAGTTGGCTTTTTAAAAAAAAACAAAAGAGTTAGACACACCATAGCAATTGTATCTCCTGCTATGATGCAGAAGTCCTCCGCTGTTTTCAGCACCAAGACTGAAAATAAGACAAATGCATCCTTGTGTGTGCATTGTCTTTAATTAGCTGGAGTCTGCTTAGCATTTCAGGCAGCATTAAGGAAAGTTTGCACGCTCAACATGAATCAAAAATTACATTTAAATTACCACCGTCGCTTCCTTTTGCAGGTCCACAATCTATGATTATGAGCTCAAATGGTTATAATCAAAGCATCATTAGGTTCCCAAATTAACACATATCAAATAAGAGGGAAGAATGGAATTCTAACACGGTGCAGAATTGTGTGGTCTCATGAAGAGCGGTTAGAGCTCGCCCCGCTGTGACCTACATAGAACTGGTGGGAAATTGGCGATGGCACTGCCACATGTAAGCGCCATCAAATAAAGGCGAAACAAAGAAAACGGGATCAACACGGTTGAGAAGCAACGTTTATGCAGCAAGAATCCACATGTGAATTGGCAAAGCCAACCGGACTTCTTAACAGACTTCTTGTAACTTCAGAAAAGAAACATAGACAAGGAGCAGAGCGAAAAAACCACATGCTTACGGACACACAACTATTAAGCAATGGTTTGTTTGTTTGTTTGGCTTTCTGTTTAAGAATATAGGTTCATACCAAGAGTATGTCTAGCCAAGCATCAGTGGTGGTTTGTGCAGGGTGTGTAGGAAATGGCAAGCATTTGATAGCAGCATTGTGCTCTTTGGGATGGGGTGACATGAAGACAAGGGGGTTATGAGGTGACCCCAAGGAGTGTGTGTACCTGCAGGGCAAACCAGTACCACCAGAAGTACCCCTAACTTCACTCTCAGGCTGCCCTGACCCATACACATCCTGAGGAGTGTGGTGCCATGGCCAGCAGGAATCCAGTGCCTCTCCACCCCCACCCCAAAGGACATTGCTGTCTAGTATACTGTCTCCCCCAGTGGCCAGGTGGAAGCCCACAAAGAGAACGAGAAGGCAGTAGCTGTCCACTGTAAGCAACTGATAGAGCATGTGCACTGTGTTTGTCCAGTGTCTCCATGGTCACCACTGCTAGCCTTCTCCCTTGGGCAGCTCGTAGCAGCTTCTGGAGAGTGGGAGAGTAGGGGGAGAGGTTGTAGCTGCCAAATCCCAGCCCTGTGTGATGTGCTAGCTCTGAGGGGTAGGTAAAGGGCAGGGCCACCCTGGAGCGCGTTACTTCCGGGTTTCACCGCTCGCGCATGCGCAGATGGTCAAAATGATGTCACGCGCATGCACAGAAGCAGTGAAACGCGACCTGCGCATGCGCAGACACGCAGTCCTGTCTTACGTTCTGCTCAGGATGTGAATGGGGCTCCGGAACGGATCCCGTTCGCATCCCGAGGTACCACTGTATAAGGCTAGGTTTTTCCCCTAAAAAATAATGTCCAAAATTTGGGGGTGTCTTATACACGGGGGCCATCTCTCCCCATTTTCTTAAATTGGAGTCCCCCAAAATAGAGGGTGTCTTATACATGGGGGTGTCTTATAGACGGAAAAATACGGTAATCTTTGTTAAATTTTCTGTTTTACACTTAGAATACTCATTTAAACATCCTTAAAATATTAAGGACTTCCCTTCTTCTCTTTCAATGGTTCACTTTGCATATCATAAATCCCTGCATATTTTACATAAAGTAAACCATTCAGTATTCCATTATTATTCCCATCAAAACTTATTTACACTGTTGAATTTATCTTATTGCTGCCAATGTTTTCAAGTGCACACAATTCCCCCCCCCATATATTCAATAAACATTTTCCGATCTTCTCTAAACGTATGTTCTTCTTGTTCTCTTATTCTATATGTTAAGTGTGAGTTGTGCATATTCCATCAGCTTAAGTTGCCATTCTTCTTTAATTGGGACCTCACTCGTTTTCCACTGATCTTCTTTTTTAAAAGGTTTGTGCATCTACCTCTAATCTTGCCCCTTCCTAACATTTATTTATTGGTGTGTGTTTTTCTTTTTGTAAATCTACCAAAGAATAAAGTAAAACTGGGATTAAGGGGTTTTCTCAGGACGGTGTGTGTGCGTGTGTGCGTGTGTGTGTGTGTGCTGTGTCTCATTGCTGTAGTGGTGGTAGAAATGCTATGCGGGCGGGGAAACAAAAATGGGGGGGTCGAGGAGGGTCATGGGGGGAGTGAGAAATGTCCCTATTTTCATCTGAGGAATGTTGGAGGGTATGCTATTATTATTATGCTATTATTCCTTTGACAACTACTGAAGACCGACCTTCCACTTTCAACAGGCCTTTAAAGTTGTGATATTACCCAGTCCGCCTCTGTATCCATATGGTTTTTATGATTTTTTAAAGAAGCTCTGTTATTTTATCCCTTGTTGTTCACCTCCCTGAGCCCCTTTGAGAAAAAGGGTGGCATATTAATCATCAGACCCTGTGATCAACATCTGAGGTTTGGAAGATGGTGATATGAGAACAGGGACTTTTCTGTGGTGGCCCCCTGTTTGTGGAATGATCTCCTCAGGGAAGCTCGCCTGGCGCCTTCGCTACATATATTTAGGAACCAGGCAAAAACATTCCTCTTCTCCCAGGCCTTTGGCTAATTAATCAGTCTATGGCCTTTTAATCAGGGATGGGGTTTTGTTTTGTTTGTAATTACCTTGTACATATTTTAGTTTTTATACTGCCCTGTGTTCCTCAGATGGAGGCCAGTATATAAATTTAATAAATAAGAATAAGTAAGTAAGTACGTAAGTACATAAGTACATAAGTAATCAACTATCTGCTGTAAAGCAGTACACATGTCCACCTTTATCCCATAAGCAATACACTAATAAACAATGTATTTACATCTTGTTTTACCTCAACTCCTATTATTGAGAATTTCATGGAATATGCATGCTAAGGTTCTGGACCTAAGTTAAACCTCCTAAATCTCTTGGGATAGCTTCCAGCGAAATGGATTAAAAATCCATCCTGAGGTGGGTCTAAGGTGTGTGTGTGATAAATTCATTTGTTGTGTGGCACAGCCATTTGTCACCTTGACATTTATAGAATAAAGTCCAAACGTACCCTTTGAACTCCTGCCTCTGAAAACTACAGAGTTTTATTTCCCCCACCTTCACCTACTTACCGTTACAGGAAATGAATGAAGGCCGAGACACCTTTTGCCCTTCACTTAAGTGAGCTGTTTGGGCTGTAATGCTGTTAAACCGCAGTTCAGCTGAAAGTGGTAGCCATTCCGGAATTAGACCTACCAACTGATTAAAGGATGTTTAGCTGATTAATCATCTCCCTCTTATCTGATTCATTCATTGATTAAATTTAAATACATTTGCATAAAATCTCGGGGAAGTTTTTGTTTGTAGCAAGATTTGCAAGCAGCTGTGGTACGCCTGCCAGAGTCTCTGTGCTTGAAACACCTTGGAAAGTTAAATGTTTGGAACATACGCTTTAACCTTGCAATCCTGTACAGTGGTACCTCGGGTTAAGTACTTAATTCGTTCTGGAGGTCTGTTCTTAACCTGAAACTGTTCTTAACCTGAAGCACCACTTTAGCTAATGGGGCCTCCCACTGCCGCCATGCCGCCACTGCACGATTTCTGTTCTCATCCTGAAGCAAAGTTATTAACCCGAGGTACTGTTTCTGGGTTAGCGGAGTCTGTAACCTGAAGCGTCTGTAACCTGAAGCGTATGTAACCTGAGGTAGCACTGTACATAAAAGTTAACCTCACTGAGTTCAGTGGGCCTTGCTCCCAGTTAAGTCTAAATAGTTAATGTTTTCTCACAATATTGAACCTGTAAAAAGGTAAAGGTAAAGGATCCATGACCGTTAAGTCTAGTCGCAAACGACTCTGGGGTTGCAGCGCTCATCTCGCTTTACTGGCCGGCCGATGTTTTGTCCACAGAAAGTTTTTCCAAGTCATGTGGCCAGCATGACTAAGCCGCTTCTGGCGAAACCAGAGCAGCACACAGAAACACCGTTTACCTTCCGGCCAGAGTGGTACCTATTTATCTACTTGCACTTTGACGTGCTTTCGAACTGCTAGGTGGGCAGGAACTGGGACCGAACAACAGGAGCTCACCCTATTGTGGGGATTCGAACCGCCGACCTACTGATCGGTAAGCGCAAGGCTCAGTGGCTTAACCCATAGCGACACCTGCATCGCTACCTGTAGGGGGTTCCAAAGTTTTGTGCCAGCTTCTATACTTTTCTCATTAGCTTAATGCTATGCAAACCTTTGTGTTTGGGGAGTGAGACATGTTGTGACTATGTAATTATGGATTCATGAACATCTAGATGTGAAAACATGTGCATTAGGATATCAGGCTTGGTGACTACCATTGAATGAAATGCTTGGACTAATGCAGTGTGTTGCGGTTGGGGCTGCCCTTGAACACATAATGCAATTTTGGATGGTCCGGAACATGGCTGCAAATTTGCTAAGTGAGAGTAGGAGATAGGACGCCAATCATGCCAATTAATTTGCCATCCTCGCTGGCTTCCAATCCATTTCTGGGCTCAATGCTAAGTGCTGATTTGGAATTTATTTATTTATTGCAGCTCTATCCTTGCCTTTCCTCCCAAAGCAGCTCAGGATAGCAACCTTCCAAGTGGCTAAAGAGTACACTGAAAATAAAATAAACATATATTTTAAAAGTTAAAAATATTTATGGAGAAATAATTAAGTGCAGTCAAAAACCATCACAGCAAGGTTTGGCGAGAAATTTTATACAATTTGCATTTCTGGTGAGAATCTGCAACTTCTGAAACAATATGCAAACCGAAACGGAACGAACCTTCAAAATTTGCAGTTCTCCGAATTTTGCAATGCAGTTCGCCAGCCCAGTAATGTGTGCAGAAATGCACACACTGGGATAATGTGTGCATAACAGTGCATATATTAGTGCAAATAGCTTATAAGGGGAAATTGCTTTGCGAAACAGGAAGATATATAGAGAAATTGCATACAAAGATGTGTACATCAAGAGAATCCACACTGCAGTGCTGACAATATTTATGAGGACTTGGGGTTTGTTTTATTAATTTTTATTTTTTTTTGTAGAGAACTGAATTTAAGACTGGAAAAATGAGAAACCAAAACTGGCAGAATCCCCCATCCCTACTGACTGCTAGTATTTTCAAGGTTGCCAGGAAATGTCTCTTTCAGCCAGGACTGCACTGGGCATCCCAGAGCATTGTGGGACTTCCTAGCTGGCCACCCAGCACCAGTTGGAGCTGAGGAGGTGTGCCACCTAAGCCAGTAACCATGCCAATAAGGCCCTGCTAGAAAGGTCCTGGCAGATGAGGGCTCTCTCCAGCCTAGCACTAGTCCTCATTAATTCTGAACTAATGTTGTTCATACAGTGCTGCTTCCAGGAGCTGTGTTGTTGGCAGTGACCCATGACAGGGCCTTTTTAGTGGTGGTTCCCTGTTTGTTGAATGTCCCTCCCAGTGCTCCTGTCTCCACCAGTATTAACTTTCAGGAGGAATCTGAAAACATTCCTGCTTGTCCTGGTATTTGGTGGAAGAATATGGTTCCTGGTAACCTTAAGATTGCAGGATGGAGGTGTGCTTTTAAATTGCAATTGCTTTTAGAATATTTCAAACTGTAACTGCTTTAAAATGTTTTGAATTGTGGTTGTTCTTAGGCTGTTTTAATCTGTTTTGGGATGTTTTTGGGGATTTTTGTTTTTAAATTGTTTATCTGTTTGATGCCCTGGGTTCCTCAGGGAGGAAGGGCAGGAGATGATAGATAGATAGATAGATAGATAGATAGATAGATAGATAGATAGATTAGATCAGGGGTTAGCAAACTTTTTCAGCATGGGGGTAATCCACTGTCCCTCACACCTTGTGGGGGGCCAGACCATATTTTTTTTGGGGGGGGATGAACGAATTCCTATGCCCCACAAATAACCCTGAGATGCATTTTAAATAAAAGGACACATTCTACTTATGTAAAAACACACTGATTACCTGACTGTCCACGAGCTGGATTTAGAAGGCGATTGGGCTGGATCCAGTCCCCGGGCCTTAGTTTGCCTACTCATGGATTAGATGATAGATAGATAGATAGATAGATAGATAGATGGATATGCAATTCTCAAATTATCTTTGCATATTTGGAAGAGATTCAGTAACCACCTGAGGATGCTTGTTGCAACCTGAATCTTTGGTATCTGAGGATGTGCTTTTGCTGACATGGTCATAGAGCCATTTAGCTATGAAGTACTTCATTTCTGTATTGTCTGCACTGCCCAATGGCTCTCAAACAGCAGCGGTTTCCTCCAGCAGTAAAATACTTCATTACTGTGCCATCCGCTCTGCCAACACAGCTGGGAGTAAATTGAGTTGGCTGTGCAGACAGCTCAGAAGAGCAGTACTTTTACTCCAGCAGTAAAGTAACTGTTATCGGTTTTCTATTGGACTTTTCCGAATGGGTTTCTCTGCGAGTGTGGGTTGCCCTGAGGCAGTATCTAGCTAGCCTCCTAGATGTGACGAAAGACTGTTGACGCTCAGGTGATGAGTCTTGTTGGTAACAAAGGTGTCCCAAGAAGGTTAGGTAATGGCTGGATCACTCATCCAGATTTCCTTTTTTTAGCCACCGGGGAAGAGGCAATGTTTCGTGGTGTGAAAATAATAATATACCACAGTTTTGTGGAAGGACTGTAGTTCAGTGGTAGAGCATCAGAGTTCAGTGCAGAAGGTCCCAGGTTCCTAACTTGGAAGTTTACACAGCTTTGGCCCTGTATACCTGAAGAAGTGTCTCAACTCCCATCTTCAGCCCAGACACTGAGGTCCAGCTCAGAGGGCCTTTTGGTGGTTCCCTCATTGTGAGAAGTGAAGTAGCAGGGAATGAGGCAGAGGGCCTTCTCGGTAGTGGCACCCGCCCTGAGGAACACCCTCCCATCAGATGTCAAGGAAATAAACAACTATCTGACTTTTAGAAGACATCTGAAGGCAGCCCTGTATCGGGAAGGTTTGGTTTTTGAAGTTTTGGCGTGTTCTTTTATACATCGTTGAAAGCCACCTAGAGTAGCTGCGGCAACCTAGTCAGATGGGTGGGGTACAATACATTATTATTATTAAACAAACACACATGCTACAACATGCTATTAAGTCTCCAAGGAGCTCCTTCCAAAGGAAACCAAACCAAATTGGGTAATTGCTGTGCTATGTTGTCTTCTCACTGATCTGAGAAGTAGAGTGTAATATACTTTTGTTTTAGGAGCTCTGCTGCAATATCACCCAGAATAAAGGCTGTTGTTGTTTAGTCATTCAGTCGTGTCCAACTCTTCGTGACCCCATGGACCAGAGCACGCCAGGCACTTCTGTCTTCCACTGTCTCCCGCAGTTTGGTCAGACTCATGTTTGTAGCTTCGAGAACACTGTCCAACCATCTCGTCCTCTGTCGTCCCCTTCTCCTTGTGCCCTCCATCTTTCCCCACATCAGGGTCTTTTCCAGGGAGTCTTCTCTTCTCATGAGGTGGCCAAAGTATTGGAGCCTCAGCTTCAGGATCTGTCCTTCCAGTGAGCACTCAGGGCTGATTTACTTTAGAATGGATGCGTTTGATCTTCTTGCAGTCCATGGGACTCTCAAGAGTCTCCTCCAGTACCATAATTCAAAAGCATCAATTCTTCTGCGATCAGCCTTCTTTATGGTCCAGCTCTCACTTCCATACATCACTACTGGGAAAACCATGGCTTTAACTATACGGACCTTTGTTGGCAAGGTGATGTCTCTGCTTTTTAAGATGCTGTCTAGGTTTGCCATCGCCTTTCTCCCAAGGAGCAGGCGTCTTTTAATTTCGTGACTGCTGTCACCATCTGCAGAGATCATGGAGACCAAGAAAGTAAAATCTCTCACTGCCTCCATTTCTTCCCCTTCTATTTGCCAGGAGGTGATGTGCCTAGTGGCCATGATCTTTGTTTTTTTGATGTTGAGCTTCAGACCATATTTTGCGCTCTCCTCTTTCACCCTCGTTAAAAGGTTCTTTAATTCCTCCTCACTTTCTGCCATCAAGGTTGTGTCATCCACATATCTGAGGTTGTTGATATTTCTTCCGGCAATCTTAATTCCGGCTTGGGATTCATCCAGCCCAGCCTTTCGCAATAGAATAAGGGCTAGCCTATCAATATTAGTGTTACTCTCGCAGAGGAATCCAGTAGCCAACCCTGCAGGATGACTTTCCACACGTCAATAGTACCATATATAGCCCCAATCATGGTGTAATCCTTCCATCTGGTCCTTGACTGGTTTTGCCAGTTGCTAAGCTTAGCTGCTGCTGTCATGGAAACCCTTTGTGCTATGTGAGGCAGCCATATGACCAGCAGCACTGCAAGTTTAAGCTTTCCTGCTTAAAGCTGACGTGACTGTGGATTTCACCTCCATAGAGTAGAGTAGTGGTAAGTTCTAGACTTCAGCTCATCCTACAAGGACGCTTGGTCCAAGCAGTCATCTTTTCTAAACATGCACAGTGCATAAGAAGGAGGGGCTAACTTCCTTGGCCAGAGAACTACATTCACCCATGGCCAATTCTCTGGGTGTGGAATGTCAGTGGAGGGTGTGGCCTAAAGAAGTGGGTGTGGCCACTCCAAACTCTCTCCTGCAGTCTCTCTCATGCACAATAGCAAGTGTGTGTGTGTGCGCGCGCACACACACACACACACACACACACACACATCCCCTCTCATCACATGATTGATCTGATGACTAGGGAAGTGGTGATTTGCACCCAATCAGGGTGCTGGATTCCACCTATCCCTATGCCTATCCCTCCCCCTTTTTTCTCACTGCCTGCAAAATCATTGGGGACTGCAAAAGCAGAAACATTTTCTTGGAGGTCCGTTCAGGCCCCTGAAATCATTCCTGATGTTTAATAAGTGCCATTACGCACTCTTAGGATCAGTGTCCTGCCAGATCTTATTGTGGCTGCTATGGGGTTGTTGTTTTTTATGTTCTCTTTTAGGGTATAATATATTTATTTGTGTTGTCCATCAATTCAGGATACCTTTGGGTAGCAACTAATTAACAAGTCTAATAAATGCATTGTGACTACCGTATTTTTCGCTCTATAAGACGCACCAGACCACAAGACGCACCTAGTTTTTGGAGGAGGAAAACAAGGAAAAAAATATTCTGAATCTCAGAAGCCAGAACAGCAAGAAGGATCGCTGCGCAGTGAAAGCAGCAATCCCTCTTGCTGTTCTGGCTTCTGGGATAGCTGCACAGCCTGCATTCGCTCCATAAGACGCACACACATTTCCCCTTACTTTTTAGGAGGGAAAAAGTGAGTCTTATAGAGCAAAAAATACGGTATTTGTTGTTTGAATTGGACTGATATGCATAGCTGTTTCATTTAAGCTTTTTTTTAAAAAAAAAGTTTGTTTGTTTGTTGCATTTATTTTTGTTGCTTTCTTTCCAAGGAGCTCAAGGTAGCATAAATAGTTCTCCCCCTCCTCATTTAATCCTTACAACAACCCTGTGAGGTAGGTTAGGCTGAGAGGTAGTGACTGGCCCAAGGTCACCCACTGAGCTCCATGGCTCCCAGGTCCTAGTCCAACACTCTAACCACTATACCATACTGGCTTTCCACTGTCACACTTGGAATTAAGCACCCAATTGCGTCTCTCTCTGTCTCTCTCTCACTGAAGAAGTTCATGGGAGAGAGGTTGGTACTTGTTCAGTTTGCCCTGTAGCAATTTATTCTTCACATTACAGCTCTCTCCATTAAACGACATGAGTCAAAACTATTGATCTACTGAGCCGTTTTTGAACTGCTTGGCCCTTCTGCTTTGCTCAGTGTTGCTAAAAGTCTGAATGGCACTGAAGTTATGAGACATCAAAGTTAAGCTCTCAGAGTTGAACCTCTTTGCAGGATTCACAGTGCAGGGATGCTAGGCGGTTGAAAATTGTAGAGTGGAAAGTGGGGTTACTGTTAGGAATCCAGTCCTGAGGAAATGTGAATGAACGAACGTACCTTTCTCCACAGGGCTCAGATGGATTTGCTTCAAAAAGTTCTTGCCATAGTTTTCTCAGAATGCTGGTGCCAAATCATTTGTTGTTAGGTTCCGAATGTACAAATTTGCGCTGAATAGTTATGATTATTCAATATTGATATTTGACATTTGATTGTCTTTGCAATCAACATTTGATATTTTGCCAGTGTCTGATTGTGGATACAGTGGCATGCTGTATTTAACTGACAACACATGGGATCTCATATTTGACACCCTACTGTAATTCTCCAAATCAAATAAATTCAAGGTATATCAAGGAGCTCCAAAATTTCCCATTTACAATTCAAAATTTGAAACTTCAGAATGTGAAGCTTTACTTGATTTTTTTTTTAAAAAAATATCATTTCAGCTCTGTTTATGCCCATATGTTTCTCTAAATAACACTTTTGTAGGATTGAGGTGGGTCGGTTGGTTTGGATACCATCTCCAGATTCCCTCCAGATTCTCTGCGGATTTATATCTGTAAATGGGATTATAGATGGGTGGATCTGTTGATTCTCCCCCCAAGTGATCATTTTTCAGATCTTAAATTCACTTCTCTACATCAGTTTGTGATTATTACGTTTTAAAGAAAAAGGTCCTCGCAAATATTTGCCAGCACTTTATTTTTGGCTACACCACCTATATTGTCTTACAGAATATAGAATATGGTGATTCAGGGTTCATCAAATCCTCTAAACCCCTGACCCACCAAAACCCTGTGTCCCATCGGAAATGAGCTGTCCAAGTCATCACAGGAACCCCAGAGAGTTCCTTTGTTACTTTTTGTGAAAATTGATCTTCTGCAGTGGCCCAGAGTCACGCCGAGCCTGTCACTGCCTAATGGGCAATTTTATGTCTTAGAATTCTCAGGTCTCTGAGTGGGATTCTCTTCCGGGAATCTGGCTTGACAGCATTAAGTCAGCTTCTTTGGTCCGCACTGAGAAGCACAGCATCTTTCCCCCTTTGCACTGAGATTCTTTGCTCACGGCCATGCAGCTGATTGACAGCTCGTGCCCTAACAAAGCCTGGAAGATACTCAAAGATTTTGAAGGAGTAATCAAAATGCAATAGATACTTTCGTGCTTTTCAGTTTTTCATTCTTGGATTCAACATGAAAAGGGGAGTGAGAATTTAGGCCCAGGCCACTCTAAACTAAAGGCTGCTGTGATACAAATATATGGAGCTTTTTAATGTGGAAAGGAGCATATCTTCACTTATTTAATATCTCTATATGCCACGTTCTCTGTCAGACACCCAAATCCAAGCACCCCAATTCTCAGAGCAGGAAAGGAGAAGAAATGGGGGTCTGAATGGTGGGAACTTGTGTTAGAAGAGGGGGAACCTCTTCTTTCCCCCTCAACGGCTTTGGGGGGAACATGGATGCCAGCTTCCCCCTCTGGCCTTTCTGCAGAAAAGGGGCTGGGAAAGACTTTGATCAGTTGAGGATGGAGTCTGAACAAGAGGCAGCAGCAACCAAAAGTGTGAAGAGGATGGAGAAGCTTTGTCACCTAGAACCAGGCACTGTCTTCGCAAAGGCGATCACACAGGGTCCCTGGACGTTTAACCGTCTCTTGATCCCTGTGCCACCACTGTGCTCGCTCCCCTGCTGCCACCAATCCGTAACTCTCTGGTAAAACACTGAGTCCAGACAGTTGTTAAAAGTGAACCAAAAAACCCCAACAAGTTTATTTTCCAAACATTAACAAGTTTATGGTTTCTCAGATAATATTCCTGTCAGTATCTTAACTTTAGTTTCTTTACCGGCCTGTACCTTCCTAATACCTTCTGACTGATTATCTCAGCTGTTTGACTGACTCATCTTAACAAATTCTCTCCCTCTCTCACGCCAGACTAGCCCAGCCCACAGACTTATCTTCTCTGTCTCTCCTAACTCCAGACTATCTCCAAACTCTAACTCCTCCAAAAAAACCTCTGTGCTTAAAACCTTATACATAGTTAACTCCACCCCTTGGGTTCCCATTGGTTAGTCATTTTACAATTAGTTAACCCTTTCCTTATGAACCCATTATGATGTCACACACCTGGGAGGGCAAACGCCATAGGAACAGACTTACCCTAAAGGAACATGTGCTTGCAATCTCAACATTCTTGCAGAGAGAGTCTCACAAGTGAGTGCAACCTTACCCCATCTTTGAAAGCTTGGCAAGAAGGGCAGCAGAACTTGTTGGGACATCTTCATCCTTTCCAGCCAGTTCTGAATCTTTTGCCCTTCTCTGGAACTCTTGAACTGTGACTCCTGAGCTCTATGTCTGCTGATGAGCCTGTCCTCTTACTTGCCTGGATAAATATCTCTTTCTTGCAAGTTAAGAGCCTTTCTGTGTTTTGGATTCGAGCCAGGACAGTTACTCTTCTATATGCTATGGTTGTGATCTGGATCCTGACTCATGCATTGGCCATATTTGTAAAAAGAAACTAAAGAAAACAAACTTCCTACATTTAAAGGCCAAGATACTGAGCTAACATACCATTGTTCAGGCAAAAGCGCATTAATGGAAGTGATTCCAGCTCAGAACCATCTTGAGGCTTATAGATCATGGACGGAAGAGGCTAGCAGCCTCTTTCTGACATTATGTCTTATTTCTAAAAGTTTAAGCAAGCACCAATGGGCAGAAGTGCTTAGTCAGCAGGTTCCCCTTCATTTGCATGCATTTCATTCCAATTCAGTCATTGTTTTGGTCTACATCAAAGGAACGAGTTAAATAAATAGATGGCAGTGCCTCAATGCTTGGTTGTACAGCATATGCTCTGATGTAGCTCTTGAAAAATCACCAACTTGTAGAAGCCTACCTGTTTCTGAAGCAGCAGTACCCCCGTCAGTAAAGATCCTTTCATTTTAGTTGCATGTACACTGCAGCACATGGGACGCGGGTGGCCATGGGTTAAACCACAGAGCGTAGGACTTGCCGATCAGAAGGTTGGCAGTTCGAATCCCCGTGACGGGGTGAGCTCCCGTTGTTCGGTCCCAGCTCCTGCCAAACTAGCAATTCAAAAGCACAAAGTGCAATTAGATAAATAGGTACCACTCCGGCGGGAAGGTAAACGGCGTTTCCATGCGCTGCTCTGGTTCACCAGAAGCAGCTTTGTCATGCTGGCCACATGACCCGGAAGCTGTCTGCGGACAAACACCAGCTCCCTCGGCCAATAAAGCGAGATGAGCGCCACAACCCCAGAGTCGGTCACAACTGGACCTAATGGTCAGGGATCCCTTTACCTTTACCTTACACTGCAGCACATATTTTGAAAACAAGGCTGTAACAAGGCTTTTGGCACACTAATGGGTTAAGCAACCTTTGTCAACCCAGTGACCTCCAGATGTTAGACTACAACTCATATATGACGCCATGTTGGCTGGGGAGTTGTAGTCCAATAGCTGGAGGTCACTAGATTGGCCAGGACTAGGGTTGATGCATGAAGGGCAGAGATGGGGAAACTCTGGCCCTACAGATATCAATTCCCATCAGCCTCAGCCAGCATGGCCAATGGTCAGGGGGAATTGTAGCCCATCAAGATTCCGATCCCCAGCATACGGTGATGGGAATGGCATGTGTTCCCATAGCACCTGAACATATCCAGCCTTATTTATGAAACATTCTCCTTTCTTCACTAATGATGCTGATGTGTTGCTGCTCAATGTGGGAAGTAATCCTTGACCTTGGTGGAAGCAAAGACTCGGCTTAGATTTTTAAGAGTTTATGTTGTGAACTACCCTGTGATCTTCCAATGAAGGGTGGTATGCAAATTTTAATGATGATGATGATGACTGGGTTGTACTCTGGTGCTGAGCATTGAATACTGTAAACCTGAAATCACAAAAACAGCAGCAATCCAGCGAGATGGTATTCTGTGAGTTCAATAGGAACCTCTTTGCCTTTGATCAACTCTAGGCGATCTGTTTTTGTCTAAGAGGTTGGCCCCCTCCTGTCTGGTTAAAACAAACTCTTGAATTATATTTTGTAGATGGTGAGCTTTCTCCCTTTTTCTTTT